CAAACCCTCAAAAAAAAAAAAAAAAAATTCCCTTCCTCTTTTTCTCTCTCTACCCAATTCAGAACCAAAAACCCCTCTTTTATCTCTCTCTCTCTCTCTCCAAACCCCCTCTCTCTCTCTCTCTCGATTCGATCTCTTCATCAATGGCCTCCTCTGATCACGACGTCGGAGTCGGCGGAAAATTCCGAAAGCGCCCCTTCCGACGAGCTCCGACGACCCCCTACGACCGCCCCCAACCAGCAACCAGAAGGGGAAACCCTAACCCTAACCCTAACTCTATTGGTAGCAACGACGGCTGGATATCTAAGATCGTTAATCCAGCTTCTAGAATCATCGCCGGAAGCGCCGCTAAGATTTTTTCCTCGGTTTTCCAGAAGAGACTCACTGCCCCACCTGCTCGATCCCCCCCAGGTGCGATATCTAGGGTTTTAGGGCTCTGGTCTGTTTTTCAATTTGATGGCGTAAAAAGTAGCTATTTTGTGATTGTGTACAGTTAAAATTGATTTCCCTCCAAACCCGCAAAGGAGATAGGCTTGTCTTTGTACATGGGATTGCAAAATCACTTCTTTTTTTTGCTGCAGCGTGACAATTTTCAATATTTGGGTTGTTTCAGTCCTTTACGTTTGACTGATATGGCTGCATAATCTAGTCCTCCGTACTAGAGTTTAGGATAAATCTAGTGTCATATACCATCTTGGTGAAAGTACAGTCTATTAGGCGTGCTGAGTTGTTTCTGCCCTTTTCATTGGCCGGATAGAGGTGTATATTCTAGTCCTCTGGATTAGATTTCTAGGTTCATTTCGTGTTGAACACATGGTTCGTGGGTGCATCAGAGGGAATGTGAGATGATTACTTATCCTTCATACACTAGTTGCACTACGGATATCATGGGCGTGACTGCATGCTGGGTGTGTTGTCCTCTTTTCCTTGAAGAAAGAAATGGAAATTGCATTGTGGCATCCTTGTGTCTAGTACAAAGCTTTGGCTTTCTGAAAACTATAGTCATCTTAACCATCAAAGTATCTCCGTCAAAATAAGATCAGGCATAGAGAATGACTATAAGTTAAGTAAGCAATGTTTTTAAAAAAGCGGTATGGGAGTCCTCCTAGGTGGCCGCTTAAGCCTAAGCGGTACTCAGGATGCGTGCACAAGTCTTGCAGTGTCTAAGAGAACATGGGTCATTTAAGCAGGCCACATCACCTTAAGAAAGGGTGCATTGCCCACTTTATCATAGTTACATGTGAAGAGAACAAGTCAAGTTAAAACAGACCAGTCAAATCTTTATAGAAATCTATCTTAGATAGAACAACAAGGATAGGATTTTGAATCTTCGGAAATTATTCTTCCTCTCTGAATATCTCCGCTTAACATTTCTTTTTGCTACTAGAGCCATAAATTTTTGCATCTTGAATACGACAAAAACAATTACCTTAGCAAATTAAAGTGATAAAATCTAACTTAGATAGAACAACGAGGATAAGATTTTGAATCTTCGGAAATTATTCTTCCTCTCTGAATATCTCTGCTTAACATTTCTTTTTGCTATTAGAGCCATAAATTTTTGCATCTTGAATACAACAAAAACAATTACCTTAGCAAATTAAAGTGATAAAAACACATCTACACGATGCCTGGCGCCCCCTCCTATGCTTTTGGGCCCTGGGCGCTAGGTCTGGTGTCCAAAGTGCGCCCATTGCTTTCTAAAACATTGTAAGTAAGTGCCATGAAATAGGTAACTAAATATTGTGGCTGTTGTCAACCCAGTATTGACCCTCTATTAATTATTGTCAAAGTTATAGCCATGGTATTATCAGGAAAAGAGGATCATACTATTGCCAATTGTCAGGAAGGTAATTTGTTAACTTTCTTCTTTTTATATTTTAGTTTCAGCTTTTGAGCGACATGGGCATACAAGTCAAATATGGAAAATGGATGTGATCACATTTAGACAAGTAGAAGAAATTTTTTTACATGTAGAATGCAGGTTCCTGGAAATGATAATTTGAATAAGTTTATTAAGTAATATACATAGTAAGAAAATTAAATGGATATAATACTCCATATGCCATACTGTACCCAAAAAAATCAAATGAGAAATAGACCTTGATAATACTAGACCATTTAAAATAATATGATGATCTAAACATGTTTAGTTGTTATAGAGGGATCCGGAGAAGGAAAAAACTTGGCTTAAAATTTAAATATATTTTATTCAACTTCTGTACAAAATATTACGCAAGAGTGTAACTAACCCAAGTTTATCTAGTAACCAAACAAGCATCATAATATCATATGATGAAGCAAAGAAACCGAAGAACAAAAGAGTGATAGAGAGAACGAGCATATAATGCGGGGTACACTGGACTAGAGGAAACTTACATTAGTGGTAGTGTTAACCAAATTTACTAAAATCTAGCAAGGGAGAAGTCAAAGAAGATGTCTTTTCTTGTTTGGTCCCTTTTTGATGCTTATTGGGAGATTTCAACAGGCTGGATTTTTGCTCAAACTCTTAAGACTTGCTAGTATTTTCCAACCTTCTTGCGGTGGTGGACGACAACCTTGTTTAAAGTTAATTACAATAGCAGTGCTTTATTCTATCGACCTTCTATATTCAGAGACAAGGCTGGATAATTCTTATGCGTTACTTTTTTGTTATGCTTAGAGTTATTCATCCTATAATTGTGAGGGTGACTTTGGTTTGAGTTTAACTTAGTCTGCACTAGATACCATATTGGAAATGGCATAAGTCTCCTGGGTACGTGGTCAAATATTGACCTTGTGAAACCTTCTAGCTTCCAACCTTTTTGAATTTGGGGTGGATATAAGCTTGAATCTCTTATATTATGTCCTTTTATTTTGTCTTTTAGTTATTTTTTAGCATACTATGTCAAGTTTCACTAGATATCGTCTATACTCAGTGTTTCAGCTTCCCATATACCCTGTTGGTATTATGATGCCTTACAGGCATAAGTTTGCTAATACAAAAATGAGGTAATAATCGTATACCATCTCCAACAATATAAAGAGCACCATGATAGTATCTGAAACATATTCAAGAACTTTTTAAACTTTGTGAGTCTGTGTCATAAGCTGTTGAATGTGATCACAATTACAAGTTACTTTATACTCGATGTTTATGTGATCATTGATCCATATTCAAGGGTTTTCTATAATCTGCAGTTTTATTTGGTAAGCTTGGCAATTTATTTCTTTGCTCCTTATTTTTCTCGTTCAAATTAAAATATGGATTTGATTATTCCATTATTCTTATTTTTAAAGTGACTTTGTGTGCAGAGGAAAACCTTCTTTCTGCGTGTGGAGCTCCTGAAACTGTATGTACTGTGAGATTTCTAATTCAATTATTTCTTATGTGCATATGTGATTCATTCCCTTTTATAAGATTGTCTTTGTTTGCTAACTATCATTAGATCCTGCGAGGAATGATTTTGTACATTAGGCATTTAAGACACAAAGGAGATTTTCATCCTTGTGTCGACGAGTTTTCTTCCGACTCAAAGTTAATGATGTTGACTTATTAAACTTTCTTAATGTTCTATTTTATTTCCTCCTGTAAACAGCTGATAACAGTCTTCACATAAACTATTCCTATTGCAAGAACTCGTTTCTAACATGCATATAACACCTTAAAGCTTTTCCCCAACAACTTCGCCTTTGGCTCTCCTGCTAAATGGTCATGTTCACTGTTCAAACTGATCATTAAGTGGTGTGATCTTAGGAAACATGCATTTAAGATTTACAGTTCACCTTCATGGAATGTGAAGGCAGTCCGGGTTTCATTTATACAATTCTGTTTCCTAGATGGTGCACATCCAGGAAAAGCAGTCGCATTAAATAATGCATATTTTAGATGAGAGCTTGTGAAATTATAATTTTACATGGGTGGTGTTTCAATCTTTTGAATTGAGTATGAGTAACTTCTTTCACTTGGTCGCCACATATCTTCTAGATGTAATGCTTTAATAATTATAAGCTGGTAATTGTATAAGTTCTGCAAGCTGTACCTCCTGATAAATGTATGAAACTGTATCATCTCGCGGAGAACCTTTTTGATAATGAACCAAGCTGAAGGCATGGTCGTGTTAATCGGATTGATATATGGTTCTTTTGGCTGTACGGGCTGTACGGTTGTATTTTAAATGCGTCTTTGTTCCAGTTGCTCTTTCCTTCGGTGTCTTCAACTGAAATCCCTTGGTTGGAGATTCTAAATGCATTAAGGATTATTTTAATTATTTGTATTCTAGACTTGAGAGATTTATATTCTAGAGTTGTAAAGGCTGTGTGCCTTACTTCATGTATCAGATGTTTTGTATTTTGAGACATGTTGAGATCTCCAGACTGATATTATTCATTTCAGACATTGACTATGTATTCCAGCTTATTTGGTTGATGAGAGGTATTAATCCGAGATCTATCATTTCATCATGTATTTATTGTAAAAACTTTCATAACTTTGAAGACCGGACAATATTTAGGTATCTGATGCTGTTCAGCTTTACCAAAGTTTTAAATATTCTTTTGTGTTCTGATCAAGATTCATGGATCTGAATCACCAAAATCAACATTGCTTTCCCTTTTATATTTGCGTAAGATATATTGTGTTCTTCTTTCAGCAAGTACAATACTCAAACAGAAGTTTCCCTTATTAGGATACACGTGCCTATCTGTAATTAATGACAGTCCTGGGGTCTAGGAACTTTGAAAAGTTTAGTGTTGAACTTTATTGTTGGTTGATCAAAGTTATTTTCTCTATGTCAGATGACCATCAAAATTGGTTCAGCTTATGAGCATAAAGACCTGAAGACAATGTGAAGATCTTGGGAGTGGAACAATGTGCAACACAAATTTTCTTTTTACCCTAGAACAATAAGAGGCATATCATATGACCTAGAAGATTAGGCAACTCCTTGATTGTCATGCCATTTAAGATCCTTTAGCATATGACACATCCTGGAAGAAATGAGAAGGATGATAATACTATTGCTATAGGTTGAATGGAGCAAAGATTGAGCTAGAAGTCGGACAGAAAACAATTCAAAAGTGAAGCCAGTTGTTTCCTCTTCCTAAAATATGATATAAATATTAAGTAGAAGAGTTTTGCAAGTTGCAGGTGTAGTTGCAGTTACAGATGTTTGTTTTGTTATTATCTTTCTTAACTTTGTTCTTAATCTTTTCCAAATTCAAAATAATAAAATATTTTAGAATAATTCTGAGTTATTGAACTGAGTTTGATGGATTTTGATTGCGTTCTTTCTTATTTTGTTCATGAAAGATGAAGACAATAATAAAAAATGGTAAAGGAAATAAGATTCAACGCTGTTAATAATTTATGATAACGTAGAAGAAAGTAGAAATATTGTTTAAATGCAAGTTTAATAAATAAGTTCGATGAATTTATCTGTCCAACTACAAAGTAATATTTTTTACACCATTTATAATACTAAAAACTAAAAGAAGACATTTATTAAATGTTTACATCAACTTTCACAATATTGAAAACTAAAAAGATGCATGAAAGATTAATGCAGTTACACTTGTAACTAGGTTGGAAGAACAATTTTTGCTCAAATTTGTGTAAGTCGTTGGCTGCTACTGAAGGATATTTGCAACGGCAGTTGCAATTGTCTAGTTGCACTGAAACAAACAATTTCAACTGCGTGAAAATGATCCAGTTGAAAGCTGAAGGATACTTGCAACTGCAGTTGCTATTACTATCGAGTTGCACTGCAACAAACAATTATAACTAGAAGAAAATGATCCAGTTGCAAGCTGCCAAACGGCCCCTATGTTGTTGCCTCTAGCTCTTGTAAATTAATATTTCTGTTCGAGATACCTTTGAATTAGTTATCTCCAGATAATTGGCATGAATGTTCATTTAGAATCCTTCAGCATAGCAACCATCTGCAAATTCATGCCCAGCCATATCACGGCTATCAAAATGATTCAGAGGTTCTTAACGGATCACATGATTTTGGGGGAGCAATTTTTTTCTCTTACCTTCATTAGTCCTGGCCATACTTTTCTTCTGTGTTTGCCATCATCTTTTGTCCTGGTTTCATATGCTTGTAGCTGTTTACTGTTATATGTTTTTCTTTTTTTGTCCCATTAGAATGTATGCTCAAGTTTTGGATGGAAAAGATTGACTGATATATGATCTATATATTTCAAATTTTTACAGATGCAGAAATTATCAGATAAAGCACCAGAGCAGGGTGTCCATATTGTACAGAATGCTGCAAATCTCTGTGACACTGACATAACCCAGCAAAAAGCACTTTCTGGGACAGATGGTTTTTTTGAACTTGAGCAGCGACTGAAGCAGAAAGTCTTCACAAGGAAAGTATTTTCTTCTTGGCTGCTTTCCAACTTACAGAAATGTTCATTTGTTTGCCATTTTTCGTTTAGTAAAAACTTTCCCGCTAGGTTCTGTTTAAGTTGTGGCTTACAGCATTTTCTTTTAGACATATAGCTTCAGGAATCCCCCTCTCTCTCTGATCATTCAACTTGTTCCTAGCAGAAGTTTAAATGGCTTGTCAATTATTTTGTTTTTTCTTTATACCTTTTTCCCCATTAGCTGTATTTGTGTCTAAATTTGATTATGTGGACAGTGAGACCCTATGCTCCAGAGATGGAGTAACCCTCTCCCATCTTTGTAGTTATTTAACTTATGCTTTCCAGTCATTATTTTCTACATTTCTAATAAAAGTTTGACATTGGACAGAGCAGAGGTTGACCGCCTGACAGATTTACTCCGTTCAAGAACCGTAGAACCAAGCACATCAAAACCAGCAGTTGATTTTCAGCACGAGGAAAAGGTGATTGTCAGAGACCAAGTACAGCACAACAAACAATCAATTATAGAACCAAGTACATCATCACATCCTGTAGTACGTAGTGAGCAAAAGGAAATGGAACATGAAGATGGAATGAAGTCCTCAAGTTTACATGGGAATATTATAGATCTGGCTGCTAATTTGCAGGTAAAAAGAAAGCTCTTTTAGTCATCTCTTCCATTATGTTTATGCGATCTTGAGTAACTCATCTTGTAAATATGTTAGCTAATTTTCCCATATCTTAAAACGATATGGTTTCTCTTGATTAATGATTTCATCAACACTATATATTAATGATTTCATTAACACTGTATATTCTAAAGCCCAAAAGTGATATCTAATGTCATCAGCAGCTGTGTGTATGTGGTGGATGATGAATGTTCCGTTTACTAAGGATTTCATTCTCTGTCATCTTGACTTTCTAAAATTGAAGACCGTTCCTTATCAACAAATCAAAAATTACGGATAGGCCTGACTTGTGGGTAGAAATTAGAATAGTCTTGAATCAGGGTCTGAATTTTAGGTATTATTTATTTATTATGTTATTTTAAACTGTATACTAGTGTGCACCCCGTGCAATGCAAGACCCCTTTTTTTATTTTTTCTACAGTAATTCTTTTTTAAATGCTACAGTTTTTTTCGTAAAATGTTGCATTAATTTTTTTTTGAAATGCTGCAGTATTTGCGCTACAATGATATTGCTACAATAATAACGTTACAACAATTTGCTGTAACATTTACTGTAGCATGATAAGTGAATCTTTTGATCCTCCTATAAGTATAGAGGAGTAGATTATATAATTGACGTATATTCTTTCGTAAGGTGAAACTGCTGTTCTGAGTTCCTCATCAGGCTCCTTTTCTTCTGAAGGTTCTGTTTGCTAGGAATCAAATATCAATTTAAAAACCAACAATGTATTCAATGTGGGTAGGGAAGTCTCTCGACTTTGTAAAGCTGGCTCCTTCTGCATTTAATGAGGTTTATTTATAAGTGATGGAGTATATGGAATTTCTTCTTACATTTTTGTGTAACTTCTACAAATGTCTGTAATCTTTCTTAAATTTCATTTTTTTCTATTCAAAAACTTTCTTTCTCGAGCAGTCCTAGTTATCGTTAATTATGTTTGTATCTTTTTAAAGACTGTATTTGGATTTCAGGTTCCTGAGGAAGAAGCCGTTACGCCGACAGAAATTGCTAAGGAATATATGGGCTCTAGACCTTCAAAAGTGTCTCCTTCCAGTTTGAATCTCCGGAGTCGCATACTTCAGGAAGATTCGCCTTCAGTAAAGAAACCATCTACAGATTTACTTGCTTCCACACCTTCTGTTCGTTTTTCTGAAATTTCAAAACACACTGTGAACGGCTATATTACTCCTAAAGCTCGTGGGAGATCAGCATTATACAGAATGTCTCGATCTCCATATTTTAAGGTCCATCAAACCACAAACACAATGGTATGTACCAGTAGCTATAATTTATTGAAGTTGATAGAAAGAGCTGTTATGAGTTTTTATTTTCATTTTATGGTATTTTAATTTAGGGTGGCAGCGCGGCCAGGGATGGCTTATCTAGCTCCTCAAGGTCATCTTCATTAGTACCACCAAGATTCCTTCTCTCCAGTGGCAAACAGGTATCTTCTCTTTTTGCTACTGTTATATTTTATTCTGTTTTAGCTACGTTATTTAGTTATTCATATCAATTAGTATTGCGCATCCCTTTTCATTTTTGTGAAATAGTGCGAAAATGGATCATCCTCACTTGACTCTTAAATAAAAAAAATAAAAAAACACTATTATTCTATTCGGCCTATGCTTGAAATGCTTTATCAGCTTGGTAACATTTATGATTTTGTATCATGTAAGCACATTTAGATGCAGGTATATCATATTTATTCTGCTTCTAGGTCTAAATTTTGGCACTTTGTAGCAGTTACTTCCCATCATAAGTTTTCATACTTTATGCTTTAATGTGCGCATTTTTATGCGGTAAATGTGCTATAGCGGAAGGCCATAAGGGTTAGAAAAGGAGATAACAGGAAGGCCTTAGCCTTCACGTGCAAACTATTTAAATCATATCATTTATCATCACTCTTTTCACTTCATCCATAATGTAGGCTATTGAGTGTAGAACCAAATTCATATTTTGGGTCTCAAACATCACATACTTGCTTCTTTAGAGACTCAAAATATTGCATACTGATTAGTTTACATATCCCAGTTAGCTAACAGCAAAGTAGCAGTAGACATAGCCAGTACTCTCTTAACATAATTTAGGACTCCTCAATAGGGAATTAAACCACCGTAGTAAATAACAAATTTAATTTAGGAATCTGCAACTTTTGAATTTGCATTTGGCTTTGGCTGCATCAAGGACAAGATTGCTCTGCCATCGGCTATGTTGGGGGAGGACTGATATGCTCTTTGGCATGAGGAATCATCATTTTCTTTGTTTCAATCTAACTTTTGATTCCGAAACTGAGATTAAATATCCATCTGCCAAATAATCATCTATACTACTATATAAAAAACCAAGAAGGTGTAGTGCAAATTTGAAGGAATGGAGGACATGTCCTCCTTCCCAATTGTAACTTAAATTACAATGAATGATTTTCCCGCTTTTTTTTCCATTCTCTTTCTTAACATTCTATGTAATTCAATTTCATGAAAATAAAATTGGATCCAACATAATTGAATACTTTTTGTATTTTAGGTTATAAAAAGTACAAAGAGAAATTTATATATATATATATATATATATAGAGAGAGAGAGAGAGAGAGAGAGAGAGAGAGAGATTAATGAGTATCCTTGTCATAGGAGGGGATTTCCTCCTTGACGCCTATGTGGCACAATCCCCTCCATTCTCATAATTCTCATAAGGCTAAAATACCAAATTGGTATATTTATACGAACGTTTTTGCCAGTTTGGTATTTTTAAAAACTCCAGCGACGACAAGGCATTAAAGCTCGTACTTTTTTTATCAAAATAATGCACTTTTCTCAAAACTCTTGGTGAAAAATTTTGTATTTAACCTCCTTATCTCCCAAAATTATTAAATTTGTGCCCTCTCTCTCTCCTCCTCCTCCTCCTCTCCCATTCCCCTCTCCCTCCAGCGCACCATCGTCCTCCTCCTCTCCTCCGTCCTCATCTCCCTCCTCTGGGTCAACCACGGCCCCCTCATCCCCTCCCTCCTCCTCCTCATACGCTGAAAATGGCAGCTGCTGAAAGAACAGAGAATTCAAAGGTTGTTCAGCATTTTTGTGATCGGTTAATGGAAGCCTAAATAATTAGGAACAAAATGAGGAAACTCCAAACAACATATGTAGTTAGCTATTCAAGATTATGTTAGGATCTCTTTATTTAATTATTATTATTATTATTATTATTATTTGATCAATATAACTCAATCTATAACTAAGTAAATGCCATTTGCTAGACAAGATCAATAAAACTCTCACTCATCAGAATACCTCTACTCATTCCATAACTTAGGGGGAATATCATTCCTGTACAAAATTGTAAGCAGCGAAAACTTAATTCTCTTGATGACCATCTCGGGAGTAGAAGCTCTATTTGTTTGATGCCTAACATTCCTCTCCAGCCAAACTCCATAGCAGAGGCAGATAAATTCAACCTTCTGACAAGCAGCGTAGTTCTTCCTGGGCATCCTTTGAGTAAATGAGGGAAACAATAAATTCCACCTACAACTCCTCATCCTGAATCCAATCCAACACATAATGTGATTCCACTTCAGCCGAGAAAACACAATCAAAGAACACAATCAAAGAAAACAAAATCCTTGGAGAAGAACGCTGGAGAATTGGTGGCTGAGGATGGAATCAAGAGGAGGGAGATGAGGACGGAGGAGAGGAGGAGGAGGACGATGGTGCGCTAGAGGGAGAGGGGAATGAGAGAGGAGAGAGAGGGCACAAATTTAATAATTTTGGGAGATAAGGGGATTAAATGTAAAATTTCTCGCCGGAGTTTTGAGAAAAGTGCCTTATTGACAAAAAGTACGAGCTTTAATGCCTTGTCGTCGCCGGAGTTTTTAAAAATACCAAACTGGCAAAAGCGTTCGTATAAATATACCAATTTGATATTTTAGCCTAAGTAGGAGAGGGTATGAGTTGGTAGGGATTTGTGCCTACTTTATGAGGATGGTGGGGATTGTGTCACATAAGCGACAAGGAGGAAAATCTCCTCCTATGACAAGGATACTCATTAATCTCATATATATATATATATATATATATAATATATATATTATATATAGTATATATATATACAATTATAGTTAATAAGTCCTAAAAGTAGGAGAGGAGTGTGATTTTGGTAGGGATTGTGGGCCTATTTTTATGAGGATGGTGGGGATTGGTGGGGCCACATAGGCGACAAGGAGAAATCTCCTCCTATGACAAGGATAACCCATTAATCTCATATATATATATATATATATATATATATATATATATATATATATATATATATATATATATATATATATATATATATATTATATATATATATATATATATATATATAAACCGAGGTTCTATGCATATATTTATTGCGTTAATTGCAGATGAGACTCCGGTAGCAGTAGCCTAATTGCTGATAGACCTACTGTAGTTTTATTGTTGCGGTTGGCCTCCTGATTGACCGGGGGTTTGTCTGCACTCATAGAACTACAGGTGGATTCACAATTAATTTATACTAATATAGTACTGGGGCAATATAGTACTGGGGGTTTGTCTGCACTCATAGAACTACAGGTGGATTCACAATTAATTTATACTAATATATAAAAAAAAGAGCATAGTATAGTAGGAAGGCCATTCAGTTTGTATTCATTCCCTCCTTTCTTGTCTCCTTTCTGATTGTTTCGCTTCTTCGCGCAAGCGCTTGGTGCGCCCGAGGATTAAAAAAATTAGTGGAGGATTTCAAGGTCCAGTAATGAGCGTAAAAAAAGATAATTTCTCTTAGAAATTAGTTGGGAACCCCTCCCCCCCCCCCCCCCCCACAAAAAAAAAAGTAAAAATAAAAAAATTCGGACCACAAAACAACCAAATAAAATCTTTTAAATGCAAGCTCCATATTAAAATAAAATTATTTTTCTAATTTAATAATACAAAGCATTCACACAGGACAAATTTCTAGTAAAAAGAATGTTCATGGAGGTGATTTCAAGCTGAAATAATGGACTGAACTTAGCAATCAGTGGCGTAGTTAGGATTATTTTTTGCCCTGGGCGAAAAATAAAGATGGTCTACGAGTATGTCACGAGGGAGAGGAGGGAGGCACGGGAGAGAGGAGGGCTGGGGATTGTTGAGATGGAGGTCCTGGAAGAGGAGGGAGAGGAGGTTGGATCTGCGGGAGAGGGAGGTTTGCCCTGGGCAGCTGCCCAGGGCAAGCAAGCTCTGGCTATGCCACTGTTAGCAATAGCAAATGGAAGCTTGTGAATTGCCTGTAAATTTTTTTGAATTTTCACTCTGCTCTATGAGGGGAAAAACTCATCCAACAGTCCAGTATTTATTCACCAGATGGTGTGGGTTAATATGATCTCCATTCTTCCATATGCTAGATTGCATATATGTTATCTGTTTTCTGGTTTTATTGTCATTTTAGGCGTATCATCCGCAAGTGTATCTACATTAGAATACTTTGAGCTTTTTATTTGGATAAAAATGAAATTGTGCTGTAGTTGAGTTTTACCTGGAAATTTGTGATTGGTTTATTTATATAATGAAAGAGCTTAATGTTATGCTTGAGCTTGTTTTTTAAAGCTAAATAATTGAGGTCGGAGTGGGCTAACATGGAGCTCAGCTATAGTTCATATGTGGTGAACTTGTTGCAGCTAGCTACTCTTAAGCCTTGTTGGATGTGAATTTCTCGTTTTTGACTCTACTATCATTGGGCTTTTCAATTGGTTTTAGTTTTAATGCTTTAACACATGCATACTCATCCGCTTATTACTTTGTTGTACGCTTTCTGTTAGGGCCTATTCCTAATCCTGTTTCAATAATAACCAAACAACAGCAAAACTGCATCTAAAATGTTGTCGGACTATAATGTTGGTCATTAATCTGTTGTCCTTACAAAGAAGCTGTTGTAAATGCTGCATTTTAGGCTGAGGCTAACATTTAAAATTTTTATATCATCTCCAGTTTACCTGGGAACATTTTACTGTTCCGTTAGAAAGCATGTTGTTAGTTGTACTACTCCCCATACTTATTTCCCTTTCAAGAACCTGTATCAACTAAACTTTAATGACCTCAGATGTCTTTTAGTTTTCCTTAGTCACTGAGCTTCTTCTCTGTCACTATCAAAGTCTGATTTGTGGAGCTATTTTTATTTTGTCTTACAGGTATTGAAAAGGGAGAATTCAGTGTTGGATAATGACTCTGAAACATTTGGTACCGTACGTAGGGTACGCCAGAAGTCCGATTTGATGTCTCCTAGTGAGAGATATGCCCCTCCTCCTGGTAATCATTTTCGTTCCCTCACAACATTACTTGATCTAAGATTTTAATCAAAGATTGCATCTTCATCTGAGGTGGGAGAAATCCTTTGCAGGTGTTGCTCCTGTCCCTCCCCAGTCAACTGAGATGGCGAGGAAAATCTTTCAAGAGCTTGACAAACTTGTTCATTCTTCAAGAGAAAAATTGTCTGAAACAAAAGGTATTTGTCAGAGATGGATAACCATCTTAGTTAACTTGTTATTCGTCTAATCATGTATAGTTAGTCAGGAAATCAAGGATTGTAGATCATCATTTAAGTTTTTAAATGTGCAAGGTAGTGGTAATTTGGATGCATCAAGTGACTCTCCTCCACCAAGCCTGAGAAATTCTATCTCACTGGAGCAGGGCAGAACTAGAGATAACACACCATCAGATAAAGCTGTGTCAGCTATGATTCCTTTGCGAAGAGAATCAGTTTCTCCAATGAGTGTGCCTGAGGTAAATATCTATGTTTCATCACATTTTCCAAGAGAAAATAACCTAGGTTAGATCAGCTGTTGTAGTTGTACTATTCGTCATGCTGATTATTGTGATCTTCAAATTAATTATGCATGTATCTTTATTATTGTAGGAATCTTCAGAGTTGGGTGCTACCAAGTACAACGTGGAAAGTGCTTCTAGAGTTCCCATTATTGGAAATGATAAACTATTGGGGAAGTCCTCAGCATATCCATCTGAAAAAACCACACCTGCTTCAAGTTCTATGTTAGAAGGGCAGGCAGATGGCAAAACTTTTGATAGGACTGCTCCTGTAGAAGTATCCCAGTCATCTCCAACACCAAGAACACAACCTCCATTTACGGACAGATCAGTTACAAATAAAGAAATATCTGCATCTGCATCTGCATCTAAATGGTTTCCAGAAGAGTTGTCTACCGCAACTGCTATTTCTAGATCTGCGAGTCTGAAAGCTGGTGCAAGGTTAGTCAAGTACTGGAGCCGGAAGTTAGCATTTATTAAATATTTTATATGCATTTTCCCTGCAAGTCAATGGATGCTTCAAAGGTATTTTATTGAAGTACTTGATTGGCTTGTTTTTGCAGCGTTAACACTACAGTAGGTGTAATGGAAAGTTCAGCTTCAGATAAAGGGAGTAAAACTCAGAATGCTGATGATTTGTGCACGTCATTTGGAAATGGTACTTCCTCAGGCACATCAACATCAACATCAACATCAACTAGCTCTGCCTTATTTGTAATTCCAGCTTCTGGTCCAAGCCAGAGCAATGGCACTCTAACGTCCTTCTCTTCCTTTCCGGTTTCTGCTGGCTCATCTGCAGGATATTCTAGCAACACCAGCACCATCCCCTGTTCTAGCACTCCATCAGTATCAACTCCAGTGAATGGTGTCTTGACACTTCGTGCTTCAGCACAATCCAGCAGCCCAAGCTCAACATTTGCTCAAAACAATTTCTCAAACTCGAGCTCTCATTTTGGTGGAACAGCTGGATCTACATTTGGTGCTCAACCCCAATCTGGAAGTGGACCCACGAGCTTTCAATGTGGTTCCTTTTCTTCAGGACCGACATTTGGGTTAAATGCCTCTTCTTCACTCGAATCAGCAAGCAAACCTTTTGGTTCGCATGCTACTTTTTCTTCCAGCTCTGCCAGTATTCCTTCCTTTGCAGCAACAGCTTCTACCAGCTTGTTCAACTCTAATTCTCAGCCGTCCTTACCATCCAACTTAGCTTCTACATCTTTACAATCCACGGGTTTTCCATTTGGAACGGCATCTTTCACTACAGGCAATACATCAGCTTCTCCAATGCAAGGTGCTGGTTTTAATTCGGGATCTCCAGGAAATGATCGGATGAACGTTGAGGATTCAATGGTTGATGATGTCAACGGAGCAGCTGCTCCTTCAGTCCCTATATTTGGCCAAACAGCCAACTCACTGCCGACTCCAACTTTACAGTTTGGAGTTCCAGCTGCTCCATCAGGACCACCGACCTTTCAGTTTGGCAACAATCAGAGTTCTAGTGTTCCTCAGAATACCTCAGTCTTTCAGTTTGGTAGCAATCAGAGTTCTACTGCTCCTCAGAACCCTTCACCGTTTCAAACACCTACCAGTTTCGAGTTTTCCGCTGGAGGAAGCTTTTCCTTGGGTAGTGGTGCTGGAGACAAGCCTGGCTTTTCCTTAGGAAGTGGTGCTGGAGACAAGTCTGGCCGGAGAATTATCAGAGTAAAACGAGATAAGCGAAAAAAATAGAGCGCGGGCTATATTATGCGATGGCATTGAGTAACTAGGCAAATTAGTCATTTGTTGTCATTTCCCCCGCCCCCTTTTCTTGTTTAGGGGTTTTATTATTCTTTCAATTTTGGCTTCCTGTCCAAAGAAGTTTGTATTTATGTTGGTGTTTATTAAGAACCGCCAATGCATAATGCTTTTTGAATGTACGCCTCCCCTGTAGTATTAAAGAAAGTTGCCCCTTGATTTTGGTGTATTAAGAACGGACAATGCCTAATGCTCTTTCAATACAACCGAATTCGAGAAGTTAACGAATTTTACGAGGAAACCCTCTCGCGCGATGGCTCGGTTTTTGATGTGCTCCTGTTAGTGACGGCTTGAAAGATTGTGAATAGATGGTGAGGGTAATTCTGTATCCGCTTGAATCAAAGTCAAAACATATGGTATGCATATAGTTTTTGGTGTACATATGCGTATAGTTTTTGGTGTACATATGCAGTCAAAACATATGTTACGTGTTTTAATCCTGGTAGAAGATCTTTGGACAATTTTTTGTTTTAGATCTTTTTAGAAACATATTTTCAAAAATCGACCTCATTTGAAAATAATGGTCAATTTTAATCTAGTTTTGACTGAAATTGGATCGAAATTGGACAAAAATATTAAAAAACTTAACGGGAGTTGAAATCCCGTGAAGTTTAAGTCATTTATGATAGTTTAGAGGCCGAAATCTTCACGGGATTTTAACTCGCGTCAAGTTCAATCAGATTCAACTGCTTCGCCGTCAAAATGAGCAACCCTCCTCCACTCCCCCTCCCATCATTCTGCCCCTCACCAATAATCTCATCAACCCTCAACTCAAGATCCGAACCCGATAACGCGTAAACCAACCTAATCGACAGCGTGGGCCCTAATCGGACGGAAGAAAGTCGGCACGTAGTCTCTAGCGAGGGCTCGCCTTCTGCGCGTGTACTCTTCGGAGTGGTTCACTCCCTTTTCGACGAGGGAGCGTAGCTGAGATTCATCGGGATCGCCGCTGGATTCCTCCCGTCGGCCGTCGGAGGAGACGGGGATTGCTCTGAGGAGCTCGTCCAGGTCGGATTCTTGTTGCTTTACCCATTCGATGAAGCATTGCCGGAACCTCTCTTGCATGCTACGGTCCATTTTTCTTTTTTTTCCCCCTGGGAATTTGAAGATCGAAGGAAGAGAAGTATATTGCTGTGAATGAGGCTCTGTGGAGTCTGGCATGCAAACTCCAGGGAAGTTGAAATGCCGTGAAGTTTAAGCTTGACGGCATTTCAAATTTTTGGCCCCTTAACCATGTGGTTAACAAATGGTTTAAACTTCACGGGATTTCATCTTCCCGGGAAGTTTTTAAACATTTTTTCGCCAATTTCGATTCATTTTCAGCTAGTTGGTTAAAACTGGGTCAAAATTGACGATTATTTTCAAATGAAATAAATTTTTACAATATGTTTCTAAAGAGGTCTAAAACGAAAATTTATTCAAGATTTTTTTTTTATCTATCGTCCATCACCCATGGAGGATGACTTCCTGACTGACCTCAAAAGAGCCCGTTTGGATAGAGCGGAATAGCGGAGAAGGAAGGGAAGGTAGGTGAACCTATTCACTTGTTTGGAAAGTTTTTAAGAGTGAAAGTGTTCCCTCTCGTTCTCCTTGATTACCCTATAATCAATAGAAATTTGTTCCCCCAATTTGAGGTGGAAGTAGAACCTAGCTGTATGTTTGGCGAACTGGGTAAATCAGTTTTGGTGGAGGCAAAATAACTCTGAGCTTTGGCCCTTGTTTGGCAAATGATAAATATGACAAAAACTCGTTCTTTTGATATCAGCTTCTGTTCAACAACTAGGCTAGAAATAAACCACCTCTTAGAAGAACTAGCAACCTAGGTTTAATTTTGAACAAGTTTAATAAAGCCTAGCTTAGCATAACCTAAGCTAAGTGGAGCTAGTTCAAAACCTATCTACATTATTTTCAAGGAAAATAACTTAAGGACCCAAAATATGGGACCAAGGGAGGGGACAGGTGAGGTGTCCCCTCCCTTGGTCCCATATTTTGGGTCATCGTAATAGCACTCTATTTTCAAACACACGCTCATTTACCTAACTTCCTCTACACCCAATAAAATCCAAACACGCCCAAAGGTTTTTACTAGGGCATCGTTGTTTCAGACTCAGAAAGGTTTTAAGTTCCACTCGTATCAACGGTAACCAAAAGTTTTAAATTGAAACGAAAACTTCAAGTGAGTGCTCTAACATTTCCATTATCTGAATATATTCAGCGAAAAGTGAGCGGTAGCAAACGATGTTGCAGGTCGGCCTATAACAGGCACAAACAATGGATGAGTAACGAATAAAGAAAAAGGAGATTCCATGGAATCAATGGGACACATGGCTTCTGATAATATTTATCAGTTAAAAAAAAATTACAAGGGGCAATGGAGCAGGGACAACGCGCCCCCTCCCCCTATTAATAAATGGGGAAATAAATTACAACAATTGGAAGCCCAAAAGCCCCCATTGAATCATAGTTCTTTTTTTTTTACATGTAAAATGGCTTAACAAAATGGTGGGGAATAGTCCTACACTTCAAGGTACGGTGTTAGTTCAACATTAGCTGCTGTTCTGATCTTCTATCCGCTTGCCTCTAATCTCGATCAGCGCAATCCCGCAGTTGAAAAATGAATCTCTCTCTAGCTCAAGGATAAAGGTCACTTCTAGTCTGCTTCAATTATATGATCAGGAGAATTACGCGTTGATGTAGTAGATCTTGAATCTGAATCCTCGGCTTGAACCCTCTGGTAAAAGAGAACGTACGCAGCTGATGACTTTATGGAAGTTTCATCAGACAAGGGATTGACATGTCGGTCATCAAAGTCATACCAACGGTTTGCTCCCTCATGCTGCATACAATGACCAAGCTGGTTACGCGTCAACTAAAGAGACAAAAAAGTAGGAAAGTTTATGCATGAACGATGATTATAGCTGCGGTGTGAATGGGTAGCTGTTGATCATGTATTGTGTGTGCCCGCTATAAACAACGCAGGAAAGGAGAAAACTGTTGTTACACCTATGGCCTGTATCTTCCTTTGGAGGAGGCCTGCGAGGTTGCGGAAATGGTAATTCATAAACCTTAAAATGACCCCTCCTGATCAGATTAGTTTTTTCCCCTTCTTTTAATTCCACATCTACTCTTGCTACAACAAACCTGAGGCTCCCCAGAAATAGTCATTTTCCCAACGCTTCTATTTTCTTTAGTTCTCAAGTAATCAAAAGTTAAATCATGCCACTTGATGTGTCATCTAATTGTATGAAAGTTTACTATCTTAGCTCTATTTTATTTTCATTAATGCAAACACTTCTATTGTGTGCTTGTAACCAAATATTTGTAATATGCTCAGAGAGAATAAACCTGAGAAGTTAATAGATGTGCCTGGTTTCATTATTTTGATTAGTGCAAAAATTTTTGTTCTGTCTCATACGATAATCATATGTTCAATATGCCTACAGAGAATAATTCATGTGTCTGCAACTAATATCAGGCATGTGAGCACACATGCGTAGTACATATGGCCATGTAATGAATGGGGATTGCCCCCATGGTGGAGACGCAAATGAATACATCTGTATGAACCTCAAACAGTAAAGGTTGTTCATGTAAATAATACTATGTTCATTTAAAAAATGATCAGAAATCTAACAAATATGAGGGAAATGACAAGTAAACAAGTCACACCCTTGGCCCCTTGAGCCTTTGAAGATAAGCTTGTCAACAAGAAGTTTGATTCCTTTAGAAAGAGAAACTACAAATAATTAAAATTCGGAAAAAAAAGAAACAAGAAAACTTTTTCTGCCAATTAAAAGCAGTCATACATATAATGAGATGAAGACAAGAAAAAAAAGAGAGGGAGAAACTAATTTCTTAGATATGAATTTGTAATAAAATAGAAAGAACCATGTAATTGTCCAACTTACATGAACATATGCAGTGTAGTGACCTCCTCCCATACTTCCATAGTGGTTGCTAATAGCATACAGCCTGTACCGATGAGAAGGTTGTTGGGTCTTATATGCAATATAATCCGACAACTCCAAGTCATCAATGGGAAAATCTACAAATGTCTCCAGTTTATTTTTCAGGAACCGGCTATAAGAAAATCGTTTTAGATGAATAACAAGAATCTCCGGCAGCCTCCAGAGATCTAGTTTCTTGCAAGCCTGCCGATGCTCCTTGCAGCTAGGGCAGTACCTGAAATAAAAAGCAGTATTACATGGCTCTAACTCTCAGTATATACAAAACATTTGTGAGGCACAAATTTCAGATGTAAAACGCTACAATGATTATAAAAAAGGAGCGGGTTACTAAGAAATATATAAATGAACATGCCTGAAATAATTTTGAATTTCAAACTGAATAGAAACTGCATTTAGTATACATTCATTAGGGCACTACAAGCATCTAGCATTCATATAGTATTTTCTCATATTAATGGTCACCAGAAGTTAATGAAACCTTAAACCAGAACATGCAAAGCCAAGAAGCGGTTCTAATTAGAAGACATACATAAATTCAGGGACTTAATACATTATGATATAGCATCAAACTGAAAGTGGAAGAGTCAGATGACTGTAGCAAACATCAGCGGTGTAACCTTAACTTTCTAAATAATGTTCACTTTCTGACAAAATTCTCCTCCAAAGTTATGATAAAAATAAGGCAACGGAGAAACTAATATGCGTGTTTGGCTAATACTACTTTTATGAAATCTTGTAAGTTACTTATTTTTACTTATCTTGTTAGAGGGCAAAGTACTCATTTAATATCAATAATTAAACCTCCTTATAAGACCAAAAGGATAAGTTGGAAAATCCCAACTTATTTTTTTCATGCTTATCACTTCAAGGTACGGTGTTAGTTCAACATTAGCTGCTGTTCTGATCTTCTATCCGCTTGCCTCTAATCTCGATCAGCGCAATCCCGCAGTTGAAAAATGAATCTCTCTCTAGCTCAAGGATAAAGGTCACTTCTAGTCTGCTTCAATTATATGATCAGGAGAATTACGCGTTGATGTAGTAGATCTTGAATCTGAATCCTCGGCTTGAACCCTCTGGTAAAAGAGAACGTACGCAGCTGATGACTTTATGGAAGTTTCATCAGACAAGGGATTGACATGTCGGTCATCAAAGTCATACCAACGGTTTGCTCCCTCATGCTGCATACAATGACCAAGCTGGTTACGCGTCAACTAAAGAGACAAAAAAGTAGGAAAGTTTATGCATGAACGATGATTATAGCTGCGGTGTGAATGGGTAGCTGTTGATCATGTATTGTGTGTGCCCGCTATAAACAACGCAGGAAAGGAGAAAACTGTTGTTACACCTATGGCCTGTATCTTCCTTTGGAGGAGGCCTGCGAGGTTGCGGAAATGGTAATTCATAAACCTTAAAATGACCCCTCCTGATCAGATTAGTTTTTTCCCCTTCTTTTAATTCCACATCTACTCTTGCTACAACAAACCTGAGGCTCCCCATCCTCATTTTCCCAACGCTTCTATTTTCTTTAGTTCTCAAGTAATCAAAAGTTAAATCATGCCACTTGATGTGTCATCTAATTGTATGAAAGTTTACTATCTTAGCTCTATTTTATTTTCATTAATGCAAACACTTCTATTGTGTGCTTGTAACCAAATATTTGTAATATGCTCAGAGAGAATAAACCTGAGAAGTTAATAGATGTGCCTGGTTTCATTATTTTGATTAGTGCAAAAATTTTTGTTCTGTCTCATACGATAATCATATGTTCAATATGCCTACAGAGAATAATTCATGTGTCTGCAACTAATATCAGGCATGTGAGCACACATGCGTAGTACATATGGCCATGTAATGAATGGGGATTGCCCCCATGGTGGAGACGCAAATGAATACATCTGTATGAACCTCAAACAGTAAAGGTTGTTCATGTAAATAATACTATGTTCATTTAAAAAATGATCAGAAATCTAACAAATATGAGGGAAATGACAAGTAAACAAGTCACACCCTTGGCCCCTTGAGCCTTTGAAGATAAGCTTGTCAACAAGAAGTTTGATTCCTTTAGAAAGAGAAACTACAAATAATTAAAATTCGGAAAAAAAAGAAACAAGAAAACTTTTTCTGCCAATTAAAAGCAGTCATACATATAATGAGATGAAGACAAGAAAAAAAAGAGAGGGAGAAACTAATTTCTTAGATATGAATTTGTAATAAAATAGAAAGAACCATGTAATTGTCCAACTTACATGAACATATGCAGTGTAGTGACCTCCTCCCATACTTCCATAGTGGTTGCTAATAGCATACAGCCTGTACCGATGAGAAGGTTGTTGGGTCTTATATGCAATATAATCCGACAACTCCAAGTCATCAATGGGAAAATCTACAAATGTCTCCAGTTTATTTTTCAGGAACCGGCTATAAGAAAATCGTTTTAGATGAATAACAAGAATCTCCGGCAGCCTCCAGAGATCTAGTTTCTTGCAAGCCTGCCGATGCTCCTTGCAGCTAGGGCAGTACCTGAAATAAAAAGCAGTATTACATGGCTCTAACTCTCAGTATATACAAAACATTTGTGAGGCACAAATTTCAGATGTAAAACGCTACAATGATTATAAAAAAGGAGCGGGTTACTAAGAAATATATAAATGAACATGCCTGAAATAATTTTGAATTTCAAACTGAATAGAAACTGCATTTAGTATACATTCATTAGGGCACTACAAGCATCTAGCATTCATATAGTATTTTCTCATATTAATGGTCACCAGAAGTTAATGAAACCTTAAACCAGAACATGCAAAGCCAAGAAGCGGTTCTAATTAGAAGACATACATAAATTCAGGGACTTAATACATTATGATATAGCATCAAACTGAAAGTGGAAGAGTCAGATGACTGTAGCAAACATCAGCGGTGTAACCTTAACTTTCTAAATAATGTTCACTTTCTGACAAAATTCTCCTCCAAAGTTATGATAAAAATAAGGCAACGGAGAAACTAATATGCGTGTTTGGCTAATACTACTTTTATGAAATCTTGTAAGTTACTTATTTTTACTTATCTTGTTAGAGGGCAAAGTACTCATTTAATATCAATAATTAAACCTCCTTATAAGACCAAAAGGATAAGTTGGAAAATCCCAACTTATTTTTTTCATGCTTATAAGGAAATAAGTAAATAAGTAAAATTTAACAAACATGATCTTAAACGCTTTTAAGGGAAAACAAACTTATAAGCTAAATAAGTCACTTTCCAAACATATGCTCTAAAGATAGGGGTTGGACATGCTCACCACATGTCTTCAGGTCCTAGTGGTTCCTCTTTTAGAAAGGCTTCGAGACATGAATATAAAGAAATGGGTTCCTGAGGTCTCTTTGAGAAGAGTGCAGACTTGTAAATCTCCGGTAAGGAATTTAGAAGTTCAATATCATATTTTTCTGGTGCTTTCTCTTGCCAACACACTATCACATGCAGTTGTTTTTGTAGCCCTGTAAGTGAAGTTGATTCATCCATGTCAATCTTAGAATGCATAGCTTGACACTTTTCATCGGTTATGTAGAACTGAAATTCATCTTGAACACAGTCACCCACTTCTGCAGCTTCAGCAATGCCTTCATTTTCAGGACCATTGGAGGACTCCACTTTAGCAAATTCACCCACGTTGATATTGCTGTGATCTAAATCAGAGATAGCATCTGAGGATCGGAGAAATGGATTCAATAACTTCAAATAAAGATCGCGGATTGTGGAGCCATTAGCTGCAACAGAGAGCCTTGCAACTAGAGGAACACCAAATGCCTTCTTCGAGGACATGATGCTGTGGATGTAACGCCTATAATAGACAGTGATACGGTTAAGAAAAATAAGGCAATATCCACACAAGTAAAAAAATACACATATATGATTAGCTTGTGCCTTCTAGTTGATCTGAATTAGTACAAATTATTTCCCCACCTTATTCAATCTTTATTCTGGTCATAAACTGCATATGTATGTCAGTGTGCACTAAATGTCGGAAAGCTAACATTGTAACCAAACTTACAGCGCTATCAGGGAAAAGATGCAAAAATATACAAGATAACACGTTTCACACTCTGGACTTCTTACTTGTCTGCATAAGATGAGGTAGTAACTCAACATTCAATTTATATCAACAATTATCTTTCAGGAAAAAGAATTATTAAGGCAGAAAAGTTTTTGTTCGGCCTCTGTGCAGATTCTGCAGGATAATCGCTAGAAACTCCAGAGTGCTTACCCTTGACCATATAATTTAACACTACATGGCTGTGAATACCAGTATAGTGCTCCAATAATCAAATTTTACACACATTATGCTCATTGACAACAATCCTTCATAGAAATAGGAGATTAACTTTATGCATTTCGCAGTTTGATTCTATAGTATGCTTTAACATGGTTCTCGCCAGGCTTATACAATAGGGTGCAATCTAGTTAGAGTTCAACCAATATATATTTTTGTGTAACTTATAAGTTTACAATGCAGAATTAAACCAGAAAGTTATCTGGTAGGATCTTGAAGAAATTAGGCGTTTGATGTAAATAAGTACTATGAGCTATGCTGCATGGGTACGGATATAGGTACAAGTGTTGGTACAGGTATGGGTACGGGACACGGCAAATTTGTAAAAATAGGGTATGGGGACACAGCCATATAAATATTTTTATACACATATTATGTATTGGAATTAATAATTTATATGAGATCAAGGATGAGAATTAAAAGTCTTATAACAGTTCTGTTACGTGGATTATAAATTGGAAAAGCACTAGTTTTTGAACTAGACATCCAACCAACCCTTCAAAATCATAATTCAAACCTAACCTATGTCCAATGAGTTTCAAGAAGTGGGTGTGAAATGTATGATATATGTCCAAAAATGTATAACAAGTGTTTTAAATTTAAAAAAATGTATTGTATAATTGAGTACATGCCCGAATAAATGTATGCATTTATGCAAGGAGTGTCCAAGAAGTTTGGGTACGAGTACGTGTCGGGTACGGGTACGGCTTTAGATTAGATTAGAAGTACCCAGGTAGCATAGACTATTGAGGAATAAGGTTGAAGAAAAAACATGGTTTGAAGTAGGGGGGGGGGAAATCAAGGACAATTTGTCTTACTCAACACGCTGGTGCGTGAATACCACCAAGGGGTAATTTTCATCATCTTTTAGTAGCTTATATGCCGCAAGCCTGTCACCATCTCTGATTAAGGATACCGCATCAGAAGGATCCTCCAGATAACGAATAATGCGATTGCCATATATCTGCAGAAAGTTCCAACATCAAAAAGATAACTAAGCAAGCACATGCCTAGTTGTACAACATACCTCAGCAACCAGTAGGCTCTCGTTGTCCCTCAATGAACAAGCAACACTTAAAGCCTGCATAAGATCCTTGCATTTTCCATACTTGGGTACATTTATAGTATATGAAGAAGGTGCAGAAGTACCATCAGAACTGAAGATGGTAATAGTCATTGTCCGTGATGCAGATGACGGTAGAGGAAGAGATAAGTACATAAATGGATCGAATGTAACGGAAACCTTACTGCAGACTGGACAAACTAATGTTGATTTGTACTGGCCCTGTAGTCAACCAATATGCTTTAAATGTTACTATTGTTAAGGTTGATGGATAAAGACAAATTTCAATTTAAAAAAAAAATGAAAAAAAGGAGAATCAAAGGGAAAAAAAGAAGAAGACAAAGAAACATCTAGGGATCCAAAATTCGAAGAACATAATATTACAGATAGATTTCTCAATTGAAAAGACAATATGTAGCATATAAATCATTCTATTTTGTCAATAATACAAGAAACACCTCATGTAAATGGCTATTTCTACTTAATTATCCTCCTCAAATAAAATGATGCCGGAAATTACTTATTTAGGACTCCTAAGTAGATTACTTGAAACCTATTTGTGGACAACCACTCAATAAATAAGTCTTTAGAATATTTTGCACAAAATCAAAGGACAAAATAGAAACAGCCACAAAATACTGGTTTATCATATGCTTAAGAAAAGATAATGAGTTAAGCGTTAAACACTCAAATTATAACGAGTTTAAATTGTCTCATATAATAGTACAAGCAATACTATTTGTTCTCTAAACTATTGCACTCGTGATCATGAAACTATAGACTTGGCGATTACTAAAACAATGTGATACTCACTTGACAAACATCAACTATAATAGAATCATTACGAGCCAAATGATTCGACCAATATTCATCCGCAACTTGTTCATCGGGACGACCACATGAATCCTTAACTTCAGTATACGGCTTGCACTTCACACGATTTAGATCCTCATGAAGCCCGTCTAATAGAAAAGCAAGAAGTTCCTGCAAGCACAAAGTAAGCATAATTAATTAGTCTTCTATCACATGTCTTCATTTTTTTAGTATATTTTTAAAGATTTTCTAGTATATTCTCTTAAGTTCTGAGTATCTCCACTACAGAATATTAATCCGAAAAATTGTACACAGAAAAGCACCGCCACCACAGACCCCTTCATCCAATAGCACTAGACTAAACCATAAAAAGTCAGCGCTAGTTGGAACTCTAGTCAATAACAAACCAGGGAGCCTATGGCCAATTTTGAGCACCCTCCTTTTGCAACTACTGGATATATATAAATATTATGAGGACAAGTAAATACACTAACTTGAGAATCATGCTGGTTAAACCCACTGAACTGAGGAGCAAAACGAGCAAGCTTTGCCTTGAACACCCGTGGAACAACTGGAGCTCTATCAGGTGCCCATAGCTTCCTCAATAGTTCTCCAAATGCTAGAGCAAGCTCACCCTGAAAAAATTCAGCATACTTAAAATTCTCAACAAGATAAGAGTTTGTAAAACTGAAAAATTGAACTTCTGTCAATACAATGACCTACTAGCTTATTAGAAGAGGAAAATATAGCCTCTAACATAAATTACTTTCGAACATACATAGAGATTAAAAGAAAAGAATAATAAATGCCACCTACGTTCATTCCCAATGGGTTATGAGGATTTATTTCTCTACTGTAGTCTCCGAGGAAATATTCAACAAGCATCGGAGTGTGAGCCAAGCACTGGATTGCACTGTTCATGAAGCATGTATTCCCAAGATTGTCCAACCCCGTTAATCCGTAAGAACCAAATCTTTTGGAACTTCCACTGGAACGAAAATCAGAATTTCCTATATTTCCATTCATCAAGAGCGAGCCACCATAACTAGTCATTTTAGATTGTTGAACTGTCAAATCATCTTTTTGGCTTTCAATTCTATGATTCAAAGAGTCTGATAACAAATACACCTGTAACTCTAGAAGAATCTGCAACAATAGAACCAAAAAGGAAAGGAAAATTTAGAATTAGGGACATTTAATGTTTTCATTCCTATCTTGAAAATTTGCAACAGAGCGTTTCTTGGTGTGATCTTTCCTGATTTCTGATTATAGTATGTAAAATTAAATACAAAAATTTATCTTCTCTCATTGATTAAAAGTTCCATTCACTATATTATACAGCAATGTGAACGTATACTATCAATATCCAGATGATAGCTGACAGGTTATAGGAAAATTTAAAGGGTAAAAGCAGAAAGCTAAAGGAAGCAATTTCCGATAAATACTTCACAGATTAAAAAACAGCTTTGAATAAAAAGAAGTTTGTAATAGTCTGCTCAAGTAGGTTGTTTACTTCCTGAGGCCTCGTGTAGCAGCCATTCATTTGCAAACATTCCATCATTCTCGCAGTCCCTCCCTCCATCCCACCCTGTACGCAGGAGCAGTTAGTAGTCTGCTCCCAGTAGGTTCAGTTCCTCGTAGTAACTCCAGGAGGTCTTTAGAAGCAGTTAGTTGTCCATAAACAATCCAACTTCTGCCTTCTCCTCCCTTCTTCTGGGGTCTTAGGTAATTTAAAATTTCAAATCACTCTGTTGTCCTTTGTTACCCTCATGGGCTTCTAACAGTAGTCAATTACTCTTCCCTCCTCCGCTAGGTATTTTCTGAGGTCTGTCTTCACAATTCACAAGCATTTATTACACAATTTTGTGACAGCTGAGATGAGACCGGTACTCCACGGACACAACCATTGACACAATGTCAACTACATAGCTGTGTCCAACTTAAAAATGTGACATTTTAGATTCAAGACATATACAACATCTCTATAGCCAGGCCCATGAGACTTAATTAGTTCCGGTTGCAGCCTAATTGCTCAATAATCAACCAGTTAAAAAACGCTTCACGATAGATATTAGAATTCCACTTGCTAATTTTCTAAGAATACTTATAAATTTAGTCTTGCTACTAGTCTGTCATTATGGAGAATTTGTTAGATATCACTCTTTACATATATATTAAGTACACGTAATAGTTATGTCCCTCATCCTACCTTTTCCAAATCTGTGATGTTTCTATGTCTTATATCTATGTCCATAAATGTATGGTGTCCACGTAATATAGACACATACATAAACGTTGCCACTACTTTTGATCCTCTCAAGGAATAACTAGCTTAGTTATGCTTATCCATTGAAGAGCACAATATGTAATGATATTGAATACTTCAATCTTCATGTTTAGAAAATTGAACAGAGAAATGCATTTTTGAAAACTTTCTATCTGTGCATCAAAATGGTCACAAAGTTGATGAAATTTTGACCAACATGAATAAAGAAAACTTATATCCATGTGCTAGAAGCCCTCAAAGCACATGTATCAAGAGATGTTTTGAAGGATGTAGATTACGACAAATAGAATGGATCATCTATGGGATAATGTAGCTCATGAATGGCAAGCCCTCTTTGCCTGTGGTGTAGAAAATGCATTTGTCTTATAATTAATTGATCCATCTGCTAAAGGCCTTCAATATACATGACTTTTGTCCATGGAACTATTGAAAACACATAGATCAAATTCAACAAAGTGGCTATCAGATTTCAATGAATAATGTGCATATTGGTACATGCTCAAGTTGCTTCTATTTATACTAATTACATAAGTTAGATATATATATACGCTGGCGCGTACACACATAAATATATGTATAGTGAGAGTTGATACCAATATTTACCCAAACATTTCTGAAAAGATTAATTATGCAGGGAAGCCTTGTGGAAACATAAATTAATGAGTTCATTTATGCACTGTTAAGTGAATTTCTCTATTAGAGATCTCATTCCTTAATGCAAAATGGTTCAGGTTTACTGTGAAATAAATGCTCCTTTCACTTTTGAGTAGTTAAATAAAATAAAATAAAAAGATTGCTTGACATGGTAACTTATTTTCTTCATTTTACCTTTTGCCAATAATAATATACTGTAAGTCAGAAGGACCTCCCTATTCCAGCAAACCAACTTATACATCTACAAACAGAGGATCATAGTTATAATAGCTTAGCAACAATTTAGTCTGATAACCTTCTGGTTATAGTATTGTAAATTCCTATCTGTAAGTGGAAATATTTTAGCAGGAAGATTAAGACTATCTTCTAGTCATCCAACGCAACCAAAGGCTGAGGGAATGCAAGTAACATGAGCACACATCTCCATGTGAACAGGGTACAGAGTGGGCAAGTCATTGAACTGAACACGGTTCAGAAGGATGTAACTTCAGCATGTATTTTGATATAAAATCAACAGCGTACTGAGTACTCTATCAGTGCTATGTATAGCTAAATTTCATTTTAATGTAATATATTATGCATGGAATATGGGGAAGACTTCGATGGGTCAAACAGAGTTTGTGCTCTCTAGAAAGATAAAAATAGTTGACTTTCCAAAAAAATGCTATATACATAAACAGAACAACTTCAAAGATAAAAGATGTGATCTAGTGATAAAAAACGTCTGAAAATACCTCTTGATCTGCCTGGCGTGGACCATCTCGTGTATGTCGATTCCATTCATTCATAAATATAAGATCTGTTTGCCCTGAAAAGTCCCAAATACGGACCTAAGCCAGAAAGGTTAAGCGAATCAATAAACAACTGGAAACAGAAAGAAAAGTAGAGGGAAACAGCATAGGAAACATACCATTTCAGAATCAACACTGAAAATTTTGCATGCTCGTTTGTAATTTTCAACTGCATTGTCCTGAAAGGCAAATAATACATTAGGACTTCAGAAGGAAAACTGGAGTTTTCCAAGTTACTAAAATTCCAGTTCTGTGCAATGGAATAATAATATTGTAATGTACCAGCTAGACCGCTAGTCTTTAAAAAACAGATCCTATAGAATAGTAGAAAAACAAATATATCTGCTGATGATGACAACAGGATATTAGTAAACATGGAAATATACGAAATTACTGGAAGTGCAAAACATGAGGAAACAATATTATGCTGCCATTTATTGAGATTGAACTGAGTAGTTTTGAACAGATATGGTGAGAACAGTCAGCCGATCGGGGAAACAGTCATAAGCATAAACAATAAATGAAGTCGATTTCCTGAGATGTTTTAACTTAATTCGTCCTGATGATGTTTTTTATTGCTATCTAGTTGAGTGATACTGGTAGAAAAACAAGAGAATTCCAGGCAGCAGATAATATTAAAACACTTCATTAGCTATTTACACAAGCTCTGTAGTGTCTTACATTATACAAGAGGCAAGATGGAAGCATAACTATGAAGTAATACCGATTTGATCATATATCTTACAAAGTTTAAGGTGCCAAACCTGGTTATGGATTAATTAGAACTATTGAATTGTGCAAATATGTTTCACAAAACTATATAAAGGTCAAAATCACAATGCTACCATTGATTTGGGTGTTTGCACAAAACTACTATAAAAAAAATTATCAGGAAAAACTGCCATGACCATTTTCCACTAACCTACAATGTCTGACGACAGCTAGGGTAAATTAAGGAGATTGTAAAGCAAGGAGACCCACATCAAGCTCCAATCAATCATCATCAAGAGGTCAAAGGTAATGAAGTGTGGATAAAGTGAAACTCATGACGAGGTGAACTAGAACCTCAACAAATAGAGCTGAACTTTCACACCAGAAATTGAAGAACCAAATACTTTTTTATATATAATAAAATTTGAGAAAGAGAAAGAAAATTGGAGAAAGCGAATGAAGAGGCTATGAATGGTAGGAAAAGGAAGAAAAGGAGGAGAATGAGGAGGGGTTGGGTTTTAGCCTGGGTTATTGTGTGGAAAGAGGGGATTTGCTATTAATGTTTGGTAGTAAATAGAAACGATGAACAAGAAAAAGAATAAAAGAGAGATGAGGATAAGTGAAGAAAATGGTACAAGGAGAAAGAAAAGAACATGAGGATAAAATGATTCACTATATTCATATGATAGTATGTGACTCTGCTATCGATTAGTATCAGTGGGAAATCAAAATGAATGATTTAACTAATTATCAAGTCGAACAAATTAGACAAATGATATATAAAGTTGTTCATGTTGCTTATTGGGAATTACAGAGAGGAGGAGACAGAGGAAGAGTGTCTTTTTTGTGGACCGGAAAGATTAAGAGAAAAAAAGGATGGTACAGAAGGAAGGTAAGAAAGAGTCAAACAAAGAGAAAGGAAGAAAAAAAATGCCATGAAGATAGGCGAGGAAAGGAAGAAGAAGCATCGAACAGAGAAGCAAAAGTTTACTTTTTCTGACACCAAAACTTAGTAGTAAATGTATCTCCATACCCAAATGCTTAAGAAAAAGGTTACAGGTAGGGCTGATAGAGTTTGATCACCATTGCAATAGTCGTTAGATGCGATGCATATCCTATCTATACACATCCATACTTCTATATGAAATGCTGCCAGTGGGAAAGTTGTGGGTAACTCCAATTCATACAGGACAAAACACAAAGTCATGATTTTTGAAGATTTGGAGAGTTGACTAATAACTAACGTGCCATGGAAAAAAAATTAATGCAACAGAAATATGAGACTAATAGATGGATATTTTGTAGGAAATTAGAGATTACATGTATAAAACATATGGATTGGGGGAGCAAACTAGGACTTGTGACAGAAGATACAGAGTCCGCATAGAACTAGGATGATTTTGGTTATATACAACGAAAAAACAGCAAAGTGCTGTAACAAGGGATATGAAAAAATACACTCAGATCAGGAAACATGAGATGCAATAAAAAAAATTTGATTTGAACTGATGCAGAACAATCCGGAAATAATGGGCTCAGACATGACATAAAAGATGAAATCAAAGGAAATAATAAGATGGAATGCCAAGGAAACACCAAAAAAAAAAAGCAACTAATAGATGTGCATTTTGATTCTCTCTTTTATTGTCTTTTTACCTAGTTGCTGCTGAAAGGTTTAATTGACTTTTGGTCCATTTTCGACGACCTAAAATTTTAACTTTTCACTTACCTTTTCATGTCCTTAAAAAACATACCTTTGTGAGAAGGAATAAGTAATAAGCATATAATTTTCAACTAGAAAATATTAAAACATTTCAGTTAAAGTTTTATGTTTGTTTAGTTAGAGTGGTTAGTTTGTTTTTAGTAGATGTCCATTATCATGTTTTCAGTGTAATATGTTTTTACAATAAAGATTGAGTACTATTTTAATCGTGCCTTGCCTGATTAAACATTTTTTGACTCTGCCCCTGGTTCTCACAGTTATTGCAGTTTGATAGGAAACAATGAATCTTTCATACTCTCTGCCTATGACTCTATGCAACAACTCGGAGTAGGAACCCCTGAACGCTAGCTAGTCTTTCACGCTTTAATTCCCTACCAAACCATTACGATTCACAGACAGTAGCACCGAACAATTCTAAGTATCGAGATTCCAAACATAATTTAGTCAATGATAACAGCACATCAAGCATGATAACGGAAATATCTTTCTACAAAACAAAGTAAATTTTTCGCGCGCAAGCATTCGAATTTTTAAAAAACCAATTGCAAAAAAAAAAAAAAAAAATGAAGACAAACCTTTTTACTGATCTTGACATTCATCACATTCGTCTCCCTCAAGACAGTAATCCTAAGCATCAACGGGTAAACCTCCGCCAATCCATCCTCCCACGAAAACGAGCTCCTCGCATTCGAAGCTGCATCATTATGCCTACCAAGCAAAACAAAGAACCGAACTGTAAAAAGAGCTCCGAAATCCCCAAAAACACACTACAATTTCCAACTCTATTACCATTTGAGAGCTTTGGACCACAAATCCGACGGAATCAAAGCATAGCTTCGCCCAGAAACCCCAACCCCGTCCTCTGACTCCCCATTCTGCATCAAATCGTCATCTTTCCTCAGGTTAAAAACGAGATCGGAGCTGAAAATGTTGCTGATTATCTTCATCCCATAGGACGGCGAGCCCCCCGGCGACGCCGAGTAGAGGATCCCTCTCACGCCGCCGGCGCCGTCGTCGGGCCCCGATTCCTGCGATTCTCTCCACCATCTGAACCGAAACGATGCGATCAACCCCCGACGAATCCAATCGAGAATGTAGAAAGATGGAACAGATCTAAGCTCATCTCACCTGTACGGAACGAGGAAGACCCTTCCGTCGTCGTCGGAGGCGGCGCTCGCGGCGGCGGACCCCCCGGCGATCTCGAGGGCAGTACCGTCCATTCGAAGATTGATAGAGGGGGGGGTGGTGTGTGCGCGGAGAAGGAGAGGGACGAGGGGGGTAATTTATAATATAATTCTAGGAAAAAAGATTTGGACTTTAGAAGGAAAGTATTTGATTGGATATTCTTTTGATGAGCCTGGTATTCCTCTTTCTCCTTCCGTTCTTCTTCGCGTGTCTTAAGAAACGGCTCCTTTTGTTGGTGGCTTCGGCTGGTTAATTTTTGAGCGGTTGGATAGATTAAATATTTGTAGGATAAGTTGAAAATGACACTATCCTCCCCTCGTCACAAAGGATTTTGGTTCAGCTTATATTATATTATTTATGACATTTGTTCAAAATTTGTACGGTTTTTTTTAATTGTGATTTAATTTAATTAAATTTTTTTCCCCGGGAGAAAAAAATACGAGTAAAAACACGAGGACAACTTTTCTAAGCAGTCCCTTTTGGACTTTTAATCCCCAAAAAGCCATATTTTGCACTTAATTATAAAAACCGACCCTCAGTGTTGAAACCAGGTCGGTTTTTGAAAAAAGGCTTCCGAAACTTCTAGGGATTTCAAGTCCCGTGAAGTTTTGAACGTGCAAAGAAATTCTCAACAACTTCACGGGACTTGAAGTCCGTGAAGTTTGAGGTTGATTTTTCCAGAGAATTGACTCTCTGGAAAATCTACCCTGTAACTCCACGGGACTTCAAGTCCCGTGGAGTTGCAGTTTTCCATTAGAAACCTGCATATCTGTCTGTGCATGTTTTTCGTATGCACAAGGTTCACCCGTGAATAATATGATATTTCATATAAACATATAAACTTTCAGTCATAAATTTTGGTTCAGCTTGTATTATATTATTTATGACATTTGTTCAAAATTTGTACGGTTTTTTTTTTTTTTTTTGAATTGTGATTTAATTTAATTAAAATTTTTTTCCCCCGGGAGTTCGGTTTTTTTTTTTTTTTTTGAATTGTGATTTAATTTAATTAAAATTTTTTTCCCCCGGGAGAAAAAGGCATGACATATTGTCCTGCTCATGTGAAATTATATTAGAAGAGATTAGAACAGAATACGAGTAAAAACATGACTTGACATATTTAAGCAGTGGAAGAGGATACCAAATATAGATAGGTGTCATAATTGGGACCTCCTCCTCTTAAAAACTGCAAGATAGATAGGTGCTCAACATAAACACAAAACATCGCTTCAAAACCATCTTCTCATGGCGTCATATTAGCTTTAGAAAATTAAAAATGCACTGTGCCACTGCTGCGTTACTTTTAATGTATTGCTTTCTGCCATGTAATTCTATGCAACAATGATTGGGGCTCTTATTAGCTAACATCATCACACAGTCTGTTAACATGTGGGGGAAAACAATCTCTTAAGATTTTTACAAAAATAGAGGTAAAATATCAAGCCTCCATGAATCCATCCCTTGCCAGTTCACAACAGAGCTTAGAAACCTGGCACTTGCATACAAAACAAAGATGACATCAACGGACCACAATCAACGAAGCCCAACTGGAAAACTCAAGCACTTTTAGACAGTCAACATGATAACCGTCCAGCTTCAACAGGCAGCGTGGAGCGGAGGAAGCTACCTGAGATAAACGCGGCTTGCGAAGACCACCATCGTCTGTATAGAAAGAGCAAATGCTACCTGAACCATTTCGGTTCCTCAAGCCTTCATACACTTTGCACCTCTACATTTTGTCCTCCTCTCTTTCGGCACAATTACAAAATGGGCATGTCAGGGTACACACCAAAATATGGATATTCCATTTTAGGCTATCAGAAATTAGAAACTCCGTAAAACAATCAAATGCATACACAATGGTACGAGATAACAAAAATTTATAGCACACGGCCACAGTGTTACCAAGCTCGCAAGAACCTGGCAAAGAAGCACAAACTATGTAAGTTCTATCATTAGCGACAGAAAACGTCAGGGGAAGAAAAATACAATGAGGTTCCAACGGTGGGAACTCTTGACATATTCAACTTGGAGAAACAACTTACATCACCCGTAGCATAATTTGTAGTAAATACAGTTCTAGCTCAGAATTAAAGAGATCTAAAAGAAAAACAAAGTGACTTCTAGACTTTGAATCTAAGCTTCAGAAATTGCGACCACCAGAGTTGTAAGCTCGACCACCAGGGTATCGACCTCGAGGCTCATACCCCCGACCCCTGAGGCCCCCGCCAAATTCAGCTCGTTCTCCGTAGGGTTCAAAGTTACCTGCAGCAGCATAGGCCCGATGAGCGTCGCTTAGTGCAGCAGCATGATTGGCGCTGGAGCCAAAGCCATGAGCATCACTGGGCCCAGCAAGGTTCTGATAACTGTTTACATGTGACTGGTATTGTTGATGGCGGGATTCTGATTCCTTTCGGAGGAGCTCCTCTCTTCGTGTAGCTTGACGAGCTCTGACAGCTAGTAGCTTCTCCTGATACTGAATGTTGATCTCACTTAATCTCTGTCAAACGAGAACAAAAACAAATCGTGAGTCTGGAGAATTCACTCACATACAGCTACGGAAGCACAACGCAGAATGACAAAGTTATCAAATTTGAAACCCATATGTGGAACAAAATGCGAGTATGTTGTAGCAAATAACAGGCATTAGTGCTGAAATAATGAAACCAAACACTGAAACTATGATACTTGATCCAAGGGGTTCACCATCATGGGATCCATAACACATAAGTTGTAGCGAAGATTGTGTGTAGAGTTGAGAAAATATTCACTAGTTTTACAGGGTTGAAGTGTTTGTACAACTTCTATTGCATGTCCATTAAGAAAGTAGGGACTAGGAGAAAGCATTTTATTGAGAACAATATTCAAAGCTTAAGCACGCATCCAGGCACTACAACTATGGTCAAATTATCATCGCTAAGCTATCCAAAACCTTAAATATCTAACCAAGCAATTACAGAAAATCTGTCTCTAATCTATGAAATATTCAATCATCAAGATGCAAACAGAAATAAAGGTTTACACCTCTGAAGACAGCCAACTAGCATATCAAATGAACTAAAATAACCAAGCGCGTCTCATATTGGTTTTTCCCAATTGTGAAATATTCGATTTAATATGGACATTAAACTAATATATTTTTAACATTTTAGAATGAAGTATCTTATCAGAAGTGAGATAATAAATGGAAGCCTGAAACTAGTCAATACACAGTATCGCATATCAGTTCCTTGAAATTATTTGCGACTTTACCTCCCTATGTCTAGCATTTTCTATGTCCTCTGCATCTTGATGTTCCTTGGTTAGTTTCATAATGTCCTGAATGAATTTCTGTTCAAGACCTTCAAAAGTTTGTGGAAGAATATTATCCTCGTATCCCACTTCCATATCATCCTGACGTGCTTGAGTTCTTGGGTCTTTGTTCCCTTGTTTCTCCAAACCTAATTCCGGATCTGGCCTTTGACCCTGATATGAAGATCTTGGCACTTCTCTTCCTTGACCTATATGCAAACAAATAAGTATTTCAAATAATAATAACAGTAATGCAACTGCTATTATACATTAAATAACTGCTGTGCTTTTTTCACAAAGAAAATTTATCATGAACAAAAATTCCAAGAAACTTCCATGATATTATATGTTTCGTTATTGTGTTATACTACGGCATAAGACTGTTCTACTCCAAACATTGATAAGAAAGATTCCAGCTTTACAGATAATAGAATAAATTACATATTTCACCACAAAACCACCCACACTGTTATAACTAGAAGGGTATAAGGGACTTCGTTTATCAGACTCCAAAACATAAAATTTAAGCAACATCCCACTAATTATAGGATAGTTCTGGGAATCTTCAATGTGTACATTCAGAATATGTGCACCTAATGAAAATTTTATATGTTCTGATTCAAATCTTATATTTAAAGGTCCGTCTCCGTTCCAGCTTTCTTTTCAAAATATCAATAAATCTTTTAGCTGCAAAAAAGATAGCTTTAAGAATGTCAACAATTTTAATTGCTACTTCGAAAAATAACTGCAGAAATTTAAAGTTTAAAATAAAGTTTATTAACTTTTGCAAACAGTTTTCAGAATAAAATATCTTAACACTTCAAAAAGAATTTCCTTTTAAGTAAAATGTCCTCTCATAAAAGTGCCACTGTTGCAAAACATGTAGTCACAGGTTAAGAACTAAGAGGTTCCAAAACTCATCAGTAAGAGCTTTCTTCATGACATTTCTATTTCAATTTTGCAGTTTCTTCAGCTTTTTCTCAGCTTTAAGTTTCGATTTCAGTAACTTTAAAAGAGTGAAAAATAAAAATGAAAACAACAGAATAAAAACATGATGTATTAAGATAAATATATAAAAACATATCTTCTCCTCTTCATGTGAGATGATTGTTTTAAATATCTCCGATAAAGCCGATATATCTTTTATAAGGCTAGCTAAAAAACTATATGGTCTTCATATCCTTTACCGCTTTTGGCAATTTCTAGGTAATAATATCCCTGACATGGTTGATATCGGCCGATATGTCCTTTTGTATATCTTCTAGCAAAACAATATAGTTTTGGAAATTTTCTTTAATGCTTTAGCAAAACTTTCAGCCTAGTGAACATTTTCAAAAAATTATAGTAGGCCCTTTTCCATAAGTCTCTACTAACCACACAATTGGTTAGTGATCCTAAACTTATTTTATTTACATTTTTGTATGTCTAGATTTCATTAGTATGTCTGGATTACATTTTGGATATTATTTATATATACACATCATCCAATATGGCATTCCGATATTTACTATTCCCTGATACAATCCAATAAGGATTTTGACCGTCCGATATTCCCCCAATATCTGATATTTAAAACCTTGATGTCGATAACCATGGAAATTTACCTTTATAAGCATGTGCAGCTGATGATAAATTGCAGGTATTCAGAAGTGTTTAACGAGGCGAAGGTGCAAGCTGAAGCATTAAACCTTAGGCCTCTAGACTTGTGATCATCCGTACACATACTGTTAAAATTACAGAAATGTAATAGTAAAAAACGTTCAAAAATATTAAGGGGGTGTTTGTTTCACCAAAAATTTTGGCATTTGGTATGGATTACAAGTTTTGGGATCAAAAAGTGAGTTTTTTTGTAATTTGGGATTCCATATATGGTGTTTGTTTTAAGAAAAATTTTAGAATATTGAATCCCAAAAGTGCAAAAAGTGCTCAATTTTTAGAATTTGTCAAATCCTCTCAATTGGAGAGGATTTTGACAAATCTCATAAATGGGTATGCGTACCTCTCAATTGGAGAGGATTTGACAAATCCCAATTTTGTCTTTTTGTGGGAGGTAACCTCACCAAGATAGCATATTCATCATATTATAAAATGTTGGTATTTGGTAATGCTACAATTTGAGCTTGAAACAAACAAAATATTACAAATTGTAGTATACCAAATCCCAAAATATTAATGAAACCAACAACATTTTAGAAATCCCAACCCATAACAAAACACCTATGGATTTCAAATCCCATGGTGAAATCCATATCCTAAAATTATAGGATTTGAAACAAACACCCCCTAAGTAGATATTAAATAGGAACCTCACTTTAGCAAACGTGAAGATGTAAGTGGCATTCGAGTCCTTTCTTTTAAATAATAACCCTCAAGAGTTGTATCTAACGTATAATTTCAACCGCTCTAAAGATAGACCTACATTTTTTTGATTTATGAAGTGCCCTCATGGGGCAAAATGAAGCATGAGGAATGTGGTTGATTTGCACCCTACATCATTCGGTACACTAATGATCCTGAGCGTCTCATTTGCACCTCTAAACACTGGAACATACTCATTGTGTTTGTATTGTAATAAATAGAAGTACAAGGGTGTACAGTGATCACAAACGAAATCTGATATATAGAGAATTTTCACAAGCAAACCAATCTGAACTTGCCTTCTTTGTACATATGAGATGATGGAACATTTGATCCCTTCACCCCATCCCTATCCCACTGCCACTGTCCCTCCGCTTTTGAAGACATATACTGATGTCCTTCATCAGCCTGCACAGAATCTGCCCTTCCTGGATAATGGCCCATTCCTGAATTTCTCTGTGCTTGTGCATGCTGCATTTGAGCAGCGACCATCTGATTTATAGCAGAATCACCATACTGACCAGGTCTTCTCATTTTTACCACCGCAATGAACTGATATTTTCACCTATAACACATAAGAGCCAGGAAAAGGAAAATCCCTCAAACATAATTTAGCCAGAAGACACAGCCATCCTTCCAGTTTATGGACTATATTTTATAGATGAAACATAAATCATGTGCACATAACAAAGGTAAAGCATAAACAAGAAGAGGATCATTATATTTTCCATCAGAAAACAAAGCAAAGAGGTAAGGGTTTGTTCTCAGTATAAAATGAGAGTTAAGGAGTGCTGACCGCTGCAATGCTGCCTGTCAACATTTTGCAGAACCTTGCCCTTGCAGCAAGGAGAGTGGAAACTCGGAACTTATTCACCATATTCATTCAAAACTACAAACTGATTTCACCATGCCTTCTCATAGGAAAAAAGAGAAGGAACAACAAGAGTTATGGACAATAATGAGAACGGAATGATCACAACTGCCATGCAAGGTTTTAAATGTCGGATGTCGGGTTCATGTCGGATGGTTGAAATCCATGTCGGATAGCGGAAATCGGGGATATATCTGGGGACATTGACTAAATATCGGATTGTCATATCGGGCAGTGCGCATATGTATAATATCATGTTCTAAATGAAATCTAAGCATTCATAAATTCAATATAAGCATACTTTATAAATTCTATAGACTAAACATATTTATAAGTAAATAATATATGGATTTGGTTCATAAATTCTTTCTATCGGGTTCATAAGAAACCCTTAAACATGAGAACGAGTCAAACGGGTTTGGGTATTTATCACTAAACCCAAACCCGATAACAAAAAACAAATCTTAAAGAAAAGTACCATATCGGACGATTTTTCAAAGCTAAAAAATAGGCCGATATGCCCGATATGACCCTGATATTTCCGATTTGACCCTGAAAACCGACATACGAGTTGAAAACGTCCATGTCGTGTCGGTCAAGCCCTCAAACCGATATGTCGGACGACATGTCGTACATGTCGGCCGACATTTAAAACATTGCTGCCATGCTGCCAAAATGTTATGGAAACATAATAAATGTTGGCTTGGAGGTGATCAACAATCCAGGAAAGTACTGCCACAGTATACAAGACCGAAGGCCTGAGAAACTGCTTTCAGCCTATCACATGACTAACTTTTGAAGATAACCACAAACTTTTGACAAGAGCTAGTTTTCAAGAAACAAATGTTTTCAACATGACATAGGGATTATTCTTAATTACTACAAAGCATCAGGTCAGGCACTGAATATCTTTTTTTTAAGGACTTCATGTTGATGGATTCAAACATGAATCCAGTAATCGAGATAGAGATCATTTTCTCTCTTCATTGCGAGGTCAGGCACTGAATATCACCAAGCATACTATCTATGATGCACGGATACGGATACGGGACACAGATACGACACGGACACGGATACGGGATACGGCAAAATCCAAAAAATAGGATACGGGGATATGACAAGGATTTAAAAAAATATTATTATATATAGAAAAATTTATAAAATTCAACTAACAATCTAAAATATGAATCTATCACAAAATAACAAGTTTGTAAACAAAAAGTACCTCAAGATGAAGTGGAAGCTGAGAGATTGAGAGAGAGGATTAGGGTTAGGGTTAGGGTTTTTTCTTATTTTCTTTCGTTTGAGTTAACTGAGGATCGAATCGAACGGGAGATTTGAGAAATAGGGATGGGTTTTTTAATTGAACGGTTCGGGTAGGATTTTAACAACCAAACCCGCAACCCGAATGAATCGGCCTTCGGCGAATCCGAGTCGTGTCCGAGCTCCTTTGACCGTGTCCGAGCCTAATTTGACCGGTGACCCGTGTCGGATACGGATTGACCGTGTCCGACACGTGTCGTGACGAATCCGTGCTTCAGAGCATACTATTAACACTATTGTGGGCCATATATTATAAGCAAAAAGGATGTTAGTACAGGATGCAGGGATGGAGAGTTTCAGACCATCAACATAATTGATTGATTGGCTTTGTTGATGGATATATTTTTGCAATTTTTATTTTCAAGCCAATGGTGGATAATCCCTGAAAATTGCTATAAGGATTGAAGCCTGTGATGATGAGCACACAAGTTAATGCTTCTCCAGTCAGTCCATAAAGTGAGCAATAAATACATTCACGTTAGACGACTGTCACATTTCTAAAAGAACCATGATGGTATTGAAATATTTAGTAATTTATTTAGGGGTAGAAATGATAATCTACTAGCATGGAATACAGAAACCTTCGAGGAAGAGATGAAAAAAGAAGGGCTTGTTCTAGAATAAGATCTTTGTCATGAAACTGAACATCTCATCTGTTTCATAAAATCATCATTATGAAAGCAGGTTGTCAAAGAAATTTTTCAGAAAGATTGCTTTTGGCCTCCAGAGATGTGGCAAGATGCATCAGAAATGGAACTAAAAGTTCATGGATTTAAGGAGCACATGTCACGTCTTCTGACTGTTGGATAAACAGTTAATGTGCCCTTCAAGAAAAGGCCTCCTTTTTTTGTAAGTGTTGACAGGGATAACAATCTGGCCAGATTCCAAGCATGCTTACAGGGATTGACAGTGGAATTAAATATACCGAAACTGAGGGAGATTTTCATTACATCAACTGTTGGAAAAATGCTCGGTCCCCATTCTTCTGCTTAAGACTGAGATGCCTTATCTGTTTGGTAAACATGGGGTTAACTATTGGGTGAATGAGACTTGTAAGCGTTATTATCGCCTCGTATGCAGGGAGGGAGGTGAGCTGCAGCTGAATTGGAAGATCGAGGTCACTCCCAAAAGATACATGCGCTTCTACTGATGTCTATCATGGTCAGCTGCAGTTGCTAGTAGGCGTGCAAAATTAAAAAAATAAAATAATAAAAAACCCATATCCGTGGATATATCTATATTCAAATTCGTTAGAATATGGATATTGTTACTAAATATCTATATTCAATACAATATGGTTACAGATACAGATTTGTATTCAAGTATCGGAATCTGTATCCGAAATATTTGAAAATATGTTGGTTTTTTGTTGGCGTAGGCCACTCACAACCTGACACTAGGGGTGAGAAAACGGTCGGTTCGGTCAGGTTTAACCATTTTGGGCAAACCGAAGCCGAACTGTTCCTTAGACTAAACCAAACCGAACCGAACCGAACCAAGTTATTTTGGTTCGGTTCGGTCGGTGCTTTCGTTGTTACAAATCCCATCACAACAAAGCTACCAACGAGCATGATGACTGTAATCAAGTAAGTGAATTCTCCTCAATGTGGCTATGACTTTAGTCTTAGGTATTTTGGAGAAAGACTGGAGAAGGGAAATATTTAAAAAGAAACGACAGGAGAATAAAGCCATCGCTATGGCTTTTTTTTGGGTATGTTGGAGAAGAGAAGGAAGACAGAGGAAAGCTTCTTCTCTTTCAGTTTTCATTTGATAATTAGAGAAAGCTCATAGGTAATTGTTGGGAAGAGGTGTGTAAGACTTTTAGGGTGCAGTGGGGCCCATAGAGAATTGAAAAGAGTTCAATAGTGAGGCTTTAAATAAGTTCTATCGGTGGGGATAGAGAGCCTTGGAATGGGGTATGAGCATGGGAGCTCTAATTGTCTTTGAATGGAGTCGTTTGGTCGGCCCATACACTGATTCCTAAAGCCGAAACCGATCCAACCGCAACCACAACAAGAACCGACCAGAATCGCTGAAAATCGGACGATTCGGTCAGTTTATTCGGTTCAAACTGAACCATGCTCAACCTTACCTGACACCGATCGTTATGCACCAAACGACGATCTGCGAAAGCGTCACCAAACACTCTAATTAGATCTCCTTTACTTTGTAGACTAATCGATCACCAGGCAATGTGGAAACACCAAGAAAACTTGTTCGGACAGAAGAGAATGCAATAAACTGCAGAAAATAGATCAAGAGGTAAAGACACGGGATCTACATGATTTGGCAATCGCCTACATCCTGGGGAGATGATTGAGCCTTCTATTATTCAAGATATTACAATATAATCTATTTTGCATTTTTATGAAGAACCTGCAAAAAAAACCTCTTAATCTCACCAAAATATCTTTCACAAACCCTACATTTCTCCTCTTAGTTCTCTCTACTTCTCTCTTACAATATGCAACTCTCCTTGGCATTTCTATGGCTTCATTTACAATCAACCTCTCAATGATTGGTTAGAGAGCTTTCCCCTCTCTTGAATTCATATAGGACTCATTTGTCTTGGATTATCAATTCTAATTTTCTTCCAATTAGAAATTAATTCCAATTATAATTGATTCTTTCCAATCAAATTCAACCCCCAATCCAAGTCTAACTAGGTTCCTGAAATACAAGATTATTTCGCAACAGGTTTGCAATTGTTTTGATCCTTAAATTAATGAATTTGAGGTTAATTATGATGATCTTAGGCCTTTCACATCTAACGAACATATTAATGAACTCTTTTGTAACAATGAACTATATATTTTAATATTATATGGCTTCTCATACCAATTCTATATCCGAATATATGCCCGCATGTATATTCGTATCCATATTAAATTTTAGCAGTTATAGGTATGAGATTTCTTAACTGAGGCATATATATATATGAATCCATATCTGTAGCTATATTTGAACCGTTAGCACCCTTAGGACATTGAATCATAGAGGACCACTACTGATCTTTACTCGAATCTAGTGAAAGCAGAGAAAGTTTAACAGGACTCCCCCAACTTTGTTGAATCTTGCTTGAGGATTACGAGTGGAAGCCTTCTGTAGCTGTAACGAATTTTCGCTGATCTTAGGACATGTTTGGCGACAGTGAAAACCCAATAGAGAAGGTTTTCTTTTCTCATGTTTCTATGTTGCAAGAGGAAACTTTGAGAATCGAAGCTCCATTAGTTACCGAATTAGTAGGTTGTACATGTATAATACCACAAAGTATAATTTTTCAAAAAAAATTCGAAAGATTTTCAAAAAATTTAAGAGCCAATTACATTGATATGATTAGAAATACTAGAATCTAGTTTTCTAATTTCTTA